ATAAGTTATATCAGATGGAAGGAAATGTAAGAATTTTTAGGACATCTTCCAGAGTACTTATTTTTACCATTTTTTCTCATATAATTCTCTTTTCAGGGTTTGAAAAATATGAATAAGTAGGAGTAAGGCATGAATCTGCTTTCTGAAAAAATAATTGCTCTTAACAATTCTTCTCAAGATTTTTATAAATAATGTAACTATCCTCAACTGTAATGCATCCCAGGATGTGGTTGGCTTTCTGGGCTGCAACTGCACGTTGCCAGCTCATGTTGAGCTTGATAGCCTTCTCCAGTTTTTCCACATTCCTTTTCATCAGGAGAGCCCAGAACTGGACACTATTTCAGGTGCAGCCTAACCGGAGCTGAGTAGATAGAAGTAATAACTTTGTTCATTCTGCTGATAATACTTCCCCTAATGTAACATAGCAGGACAAGGTTTGCTTTTTTTGAAATAAAAGCACACTGTTAGCTCATTTTCAATCTAATGGGCACTGTGTCACCTTCGTCCTTTCCAGCAGGACTGCTATCCTAACTGCAAAGATCTGAGGTGCAGATCTTTGCATTTCTGCACATTTCCTACTGAGGAAGAACTGCAGTACTGAAAGGAACTCTTGTTGACCTGAAGTCCATGAGGTAATCGGAAGACAAGGCTCTGAATCACGTGTGTCTGCAGACAAGGTCACTGATTTTAAGATTCAGTCTGATTTCCTTATTATCATTAGCTTTCATCTTTACCACAATGTTTATGTTGTCTCATTGGTCTTTTGGATTTTTGTCCAGTTGCAGAGTAGCTACTGCTTCTTATATCTGTGACAACAAAAACCAGTGCAATAAATGCTTTGTCTTTTCCCCAGGCATGCCTGTAAAATGAAAATCCTCCTTTTATAGTGCCTTGCTTATCTATCCATTTAAAGCCATGAAGCTACAAGAAATGAGAGTAGTTGTAGAGCAGACAGGTGTTACCATTTCTCATACAATCCACACAGTAATGTCTCCTTGGAATTTAAGAAATATTTTCTTTACAGTACTTTGAAATATCTTTTTAGAAACTGCTGAAAAATAGGCCAATTTATCTGAAAAACAGAAGCAAGAAACAGAGGGTTCTTTGGAAATTTGAACTTCAGTACATAATGAAAGCTACAATAGACTTTTTAGAGAAACAGATTTCCCTGCTCTTAATTCTTACATGCTCAAATAACAGAAATAATGCCTAGTATATGATATATATTCTGTACACTGTCCAGAAACATATTAATAAGCACAAATTAGAATTAAATTTTAATTATTTCTTGATTACAACTTTGTCCTTAAACTTAGACATACTAGGTGTACTAGGTTAGTCTGGGATGGAGTCAATTTTCTACATAGCAGGCAGTGTGCTGTTGTGTTTTGGATTTGCAACAAAAATAATGTTGACAATACACCAGTGTTTTAGCTGTTGCTGAGCAGTGCTTACACAGCATCAGGGACTTTCTGTTTCTCTCTCTGCACAACCAGCGAGTAGGCTGGGGGTGCACAAGAGGCTGGTTGGGAACACAGCCAGGACAGATGACAACAAATAACTAAAAGGATATTCCATACCATATGATGTCATGCTCAGTAGTAAAAGCTCAGGAGGAAGGGGGCATGTTTGTAATTATAGCACTTGTGTTCCCACGTTAACTGTTACGCATGCTAAGGCCTTGCTTTCCAGGAAGCAGCTGGGCGTCTGCCTGCTGATAAGAAGTAGGGAATTAATTCCTTTGGTTTGCTTATGTGTGCAACTTTGTTTTGCTTATCAAACTATTTTTATCTTGACCCATGTGTTTTCAGCTTTTGCTCTTCCAGTTCTCTAACCCATCCCACTGACAAGGATGTGACTGAACAACTGGTTGGAGGCTTAGCTTCTGGCCAGGTTCAACCCACCACAGTAGAACAGGATTTTCTTTAAAATGTGTTCCTTTTAAATTCATTTAAGTAAGCATATTATAATAATGCAACAAAAAAATCCGATACTATAGAATCAGATAGATGAAACACCTAGTTCTATAATATTTGTTTGATGTAGAAGTCAGTAGAAGCATTGCTGAAGAGGTTTTCTAATAATTCTTTAAAACAGACTTTTGATATATCCAATATAAAATGTATATGCTTTAGGGTATATACATATCAGGGCTGAAATTAAAGAGTATATACATAATTATAACTTGTTTTAAGAGGTGTCTATATACAGTATTTATGATTTTTTTTTTCACTGAAAGTTGGCTGTTTTCTTCTTTATAATCTCAGTTTACTCCTTACAATTCTGTAACTGATATGCATGCTTTTTGTCTATAATTTCTGTTTCATATGATTTAACATATTTTCATTTTGTTTTGTCTCTCCTATCTATCCTTCTTTCTATCTCTATTCTTCTTTAAAATAGAAATGCTTCCCAATACTAGATATTCTCTTTTTTTGTGTGTCATTACCTTTGTATTTAAATCCTAATCACTACTAGTTAACAAAAACACTAGAGTTCAAAATAAGCATTGAAACATCAATGAGGACCTTCAGGCATTGAAAATTAAATCAACGCAGGATCAAAACCAAAATATGTAATCACTTGAGGCAATGAGACAAGAGCAAATTAGTTCTAATGATGTTATTAAATATTTTTTCCAGATTAATACCACAACAATAGTAAGGAAAGATAATACAAAGCAATATGTGCAATTACGGTGTCTACATACTGTATTATGAAATGGATTACATGATGGATTATGAGATATCATGGGGATGGTCAAATGTCTGTATTTAAGTAGAAATCATGATTAGTTGCAGAGGGCCATTTTGTCCCATTGTTCTTCCTAAATACAGTGGGGTCAGGGTTGAAGGATTGACATTCTAATGTCCCTATGCTGAAACCAGGAACCGTTGCCACAGAGAAGCATTAACACTTTAAAAAGTCATCAACAGTATCCTTCTGTCACTCCAACTGATAAGACTTTATGTACGTATTTTAATTTCATTTGGAAATTACCCATTTTGGTTTGGATAGTTAGAATTACTTGCATTAAGATGTAACAGGGACAAATATTCAATCTTTCCTCAATGAACTCCAGAAGTATTAGTTTCTATTTCCAGTAAAGCTGACATTTTCATAAATTGAGTACATTATTTGGTCTACCTTCTCATTTCAGCCCATGCTTGCACACAGACAATTACATCACAAATTAATGAGATCCATTAATATTGTATTTATCCAGTGTGCCCAAAGGTACTTCTAAATATCAGAATTTTCTCTGTTACCCCACTTTCTCTGCTGCTTCTGCCCTTTATGCCTCACTGTTGATGCATTTCCACCCAATTTGGAAGAATGAGACACAGGTCTTACCTTCAGTTGGCTGTGTTGGTTTTACATTACTTAGCATGATTTAGCAGGTCTTTCCCCAGACCCAGTTTTTGTCTCTGACTACTGCTCTCATTACGTAAATAAATATGAGCATATTTCGGCTTCTATCTTGATACAGAGATGTCTAGGTAGCAACAATTACATTTAAGATAGCATTTATCCATTTTATCTTTTTGTATCCTCTGATCAGAATGAAGCCCCCATAATCCAAGGGAAAATGGTTAGTGACCTGCTACACCACTTAGACAAGCACAAGTTTATAGGGCCAGATGGGATCCACAGAGGGTACAAACAGAACCAGGAGTAAAACCCAGACAGCTTCACAAATCCTAGCCCCATTATGGGAAGTAATGGGATCTAGTGGGCCAGCAAAAGTAAAAATTCCGGTTTCCACCAGTGATTTAAATGATAGGAAAGAAGTAGCTAGAGGGTATCGAGATGATCCCTCTAAGGTGGCAAAACGATTTGAATTGATAGTTAGAGATCAAGATCTGGATTGGAGAGATGTAGATTTAATATTGGGGGAGATGACTGAGACAGAAAAACAGTTGGCATTAAAGGCTGCCCGAAGCCAAGTGCAGGCTCAAATTACAGGGAGAGTCCTGCAAGGGAGTGTGGACAAGCGCGTTCCACTGACTGATCAAACTGGCTGATCTGAACTGGGATCCCGATGATGGACACAATTATGCAATATTAAGACGATATCGAGATTGGATCAAATTAGGGCTGGAAAATGCCATTCCAAAAGCTATAAATTGGTCAGCATTATATGCTGTCAAACAAGGACAGAGGGACACAAACTGAGAGAGAGGCAATGAGAAAATATACTACTTTAGATCCCTCCTCAGATATAGGGGAACAACAGCTTGTTTCCTTATTTTTAGGACAATCATCCCCAGATATTAGAAGGAAGCTCCAGAAATTAAAAGAACCAGGTATAAGGGATCTGGAGAAATTACTTAAAGAAGCCTGGAGAGTTTTTAGAAATTGAGAAGATGTATATAGGGGAAAGCTGACAGAAGTGATGGCCACAGCCACTGTGGCCGCATTAGAACAAAGGGGAGTAGTGAATGGTAGGGGATTTAGAGGACCTGAAAGAGGGAAGCCTTTTAGGAATAGAGGAGGACTAAGAAATTTGGCAAGAGATAGAGATGTTAATGGTGAAAATGTATTGGAAAGGAATCAATGTGCATATTGCTGGAAAAAAGGACACTGGAAAAATGAATGCCCTGAGCTTAAAAGTACCCCACCTGCCCTGATAACTGAAACAGGGACTGATCGACGGGGACCTGGGGCATCTACCCTAGCGGATCCACGGGTTAAAATAAAGCTAGGAGAATAAGAGAAAGAAGTTGAATTTTTAATAGATACAGGTGCCTCTTTCTCTGTTTTAAATCAAGAACTGATACCTGTAAGCAAGGATTTTGTAAATGTGATAGGAGCCACTGGCCAACAGAGAAAGGCGTTCTTTAAAGGTGTCCTCTAAATCTGAGGAACCCCTCAGATTTAAATTAGGGAAACAGATAGGAATACATTGATTTTTATACTTGCCATATTCCCCCAAATCACTGTTAGGGAAAGACTTATTACAGCAATTAGGAGCAGTGATAGTTTTTAATTAAGGAGCCATGGAATTAAAGGTGAAAGAAGATAAGTTGATTGAAATTTTGAGCCTAGCCCTAATGCACTCTGAAAAGCTCAGTGTATCATCACCCAAACTCGAAGAAATCATTAATCAAGTATATTCAGGGGTTTGGGCTACAGGGACTCCAGGAAGGGCAAAAACCACTACCCCCATAGTAATAGAACTTAAGGAGAGATCAAGCACAATACGTCAAAAACAGTACCCCTTGAGACTAGAAGATTGCAGGGGAATAGAAGGTCCAATTAATAACTTTTTACAACATGGACTACTAGTGGAATGTGAATCAGAATATAACAGCCCCAGACTGCCGGTAAAGAAACCAAATGGAACTTATCAGGTAGTACAGAACCTAAGAGAAATAAACATAATTGTTAAAGATTTGCACCCTGTAGTTGCCAATCCCTATACCCTACTTGCCAAATTGAAAAACAGTCAGGTATGGTTTACAGTACCAGACCTAAAAGGTGCATTCTTTTGTCTGCCTTTGGCTAAAGAAAGTCAATAATTGTTTGCACTGGTAGGAAAACCCAGCTTACTTGGACAGTGTTACCCCAAGGTTTCAAAAACAGTCCAACAATTTTTGGAAATCAGTTAGCATGAGAGCTTGAGCATGGAAGCGTCCTTCCAAAAACAGAACCTTTTTACAGTACGTGGATGACCTGTTGATAGCAACCAAAACAAAACTTGAGTGTATCCAATGGACTGTGAGCTTGTTAAACTTTCTTGGACTAAATGGATATCGAGTGTCTCAACAGAAAGTTCAAATAATACAACAGCAAGTGACCCACCTGGGATATGAATTATCTGGAGGACAACGGGAGTTGGGAACCAGATGAAAAGAAGCCATCTGTAAAACCCCACTTCCTTTTCCTCAGATAGTAAAAGAACTCAGAACCTTCTTGGGAATGACAGGTTGGTGTTGATTATGGATTTATAACTGTGGAATAATAGTGAAACATTTATATGAACTTTTGAAAAATAATCCCACTCAATTGATATGGTCCAAAGAGGCTCAGAACGCATTTGAAATACTTGAAAAGGAACTCATGAGAGCCCCAGCCTTGGGCTTGCCTGATGTAACCAAATCTTTTTGGCTCTTTTCTCACGAGAAACAAGGAGTAGCTCTAGGAGTTTTAGCTCAACAGCTGGGACCATACAAAAGAGCTGTAGCTGACTTCTCTAAACAATTAGATGAAGTAAGTAAAGGATGGCCAGGATGTTTACGAGCGGTAGCGGCCGTAATACTAAATATTTAGGAAACCTGGAAATTTACTTTGGGCCAGAAGATGACAGTATTGGTTTCACATACCGTATTCGCTGTATTAGAATAAAAAGGGAATCACTGACTTTCACCATCCAGGTTTTTGAAATACCAGGCCATCCTCATTGAATCAGATGACGTTAAAATTCAAGTGACTAACACTGTGAACCCAGCTTCTATCCCTAGTGTAGCAACAACTGAACCACTGACACATGACTGTTTGGAAACAATAGAGACTGTGAACTCCAGCAGACCAGATCTGAAAGAAGAACCCCTGGAGGACTCACAGGACTCCTGGTTTACGGGTGGAAGTAGCTTTGTCTGACAAGGTATCCGTAAGGCTGGATATGCAGTGACCACAACAAATAAGGTAATTGAATCCCAACCATTGCCTGCTGGGATGTCAGCTCAAAAGGCTGAGATTATTGCCTTGACTAGGGCTTTGGAATTGGCAAAAGGGAAAAGGATAAATATATGGACAGACTCTAAATATGCCTTTGGAGTTGTTCATGCCCATGGAGCAGGAAGGAAGGAGGATTGCTTACTGCGCAAGGAAAACAAATCAAACGTGCAGAAGAAATACTTCGCCTATTGGAGGCAGTACAGTTACCAGCTGGAGTCGCCATCATGCATTGTTGAGGACATCAGAGGGGTAACACTGACCAAGAAAGAGGTAACAGATTGGCTGATTATGAGGCTAAACAGGCAGCAGAAAGAATACAGAAAGAATGAATTCTAGCCTTAATTCCAGACAATAGAAATCAAGACATGGATGAAAAGGAGGGCATTAAACATTATAGATTAGATGAGGAGTTCATACAAGAATTAGGAGGACAAGTTCCTTCCCAGGGATGGACTCATTTGAGTGAGGGTAGAATTATCATACCTGCCAAACTAGCGTGGGGACTTGTGAAAGAAGAACATGATAAGACACATTGGGGAGCAGATTTATTATATGCATTTTTAGGTCAAAAACGGATAGGGAAGAATTTATATACCACTGTTCTACAAGCGACTCAGCAGTATGAAATATGTTTGAAAAACAACCCCAACACAGGTTGGAACTATTGGGAAAGGAAACATACCAGGAGACCATTGGCAAATTGTTTTTTCCAAGCTTGCAAGAAAAGGAGGTATAAGTACTTACTGGTGCTTACAGACATCTTTTCTGGATGGCCAGAGGCTTTTCCCTGTAGAACAAACCAGGCAAGAGAAGTGACTAAAGTGTTATTGAACGAGAGAATACCTCGATTTGGGGTACCTACAGTCATCTCATCAGATAGAAGTACTCACTTCTGTGCACAAGTAGTACAACAAGTTAGCAAAATATTGAGAATTGATTAGCAGTTACACACCCCATATAGGCCGCAGGCCAGTGGGCAAGTAGAAAAAATGAATCATTTGATAAAACAGCAGATAGCCAAAATATGTCAAGAAGCAGATTTGTATTGGTATCAAGCATTACCCATAGCTCTGCTTAGACTACGTGTAAATCCAAGAGCTAAAGAGAACCCAAGCCCTTTTGAAATATTATATGGGAGACCATACCAGACAAAATATAAAGGAAAAGATTTAAACCAGTTGGTTAGTTCCTATTTATAAAAATATGTTATTTCTTTGGAAAACAATTAGAGAAAATCAATAAAAATGTCCTAGAAACCAGAGTTAAGGGATTGGACCACCCTATCCATCCCTTTAGTCTTGGAAATTGGGTTTATACCAAGAATTTTTCAGGCAATCCACTGGAAGAGAAGTGGAACGGACCATTCCAAGTGCTACTGACCACCTTCACTGCAATCAAAGTGAAGAAACAGCCGGCCTGGATTCACTACTCTCGAGTGAAAAAAACTCCAGACAAGCAGTGGACTTCTGAACCTTTAGGACCTTTAAAAGTAAGATTACAAAAGACGGCTCCAAGGCATAAGGAAGATCCCCCACTTGAGCAGAAATGGACCTCCGAATGTACTGGACTGGCAAAACTGCAATTCCGGAAATCATTATTGTGATCTTCTACATCACAGCTGGACAGACAGAGAACTGCACCACCCATCAAGATCTAGATGATGTCCCTGACCCTGAAGACTGGACCAGGAATGGATATTTGGGCAATGCAGGTCTGAATATCACATATAAAAAGACTAAGGTATACACAGTTTTAAAAATTCATGGCCAGAGTAGAAGAGATTGGGGAGATTCACGACAAATACCGTCCTTTGAAATAAGAGAGAACAGCTTGGTTGATATAGCATGTAAATTTGATATGACACAAGTGTACCTAACCAGTGTAATGATGGTTGGCATTTATGTATATAATTTAGAAGAGCCACAACAATGCATATTCTCGGCAGTATGTACACTTCACCAAGAATACTGTCGAGCAGAGGTTCAGCCTAAAACTAGTTCATTGATTAGGTGCATAGGAGTTATACATGATGCAAGGAAAATGATAAGATCATACCAACAAGCGGCTTTGATTTCAATCCCAAAGGATATGACCACCACACATGGTATGGATAAAGCTCAAATGACTAAATTGATCGCTCCCTTTCCCCAACCCATCCCCTTTCCAAAAGTGAAACATTTAAATACTATTCTCAACTATAATGTACTGATAATATATAAAAAATATGTAATACATGGGGAAAACATAGCATGCAAAAAGGAGATAAAAACTTTCACCCAACCATTCACCTTTAGGAGTATGGTTACTTGTAATGCATCTGAAAAGGCTGAAAACATCACTATAAATATACAATATGATAGCACTCAAAAAGGGAAACTTACCATATGGGAAGTACCCACAGCTACTTTGAAGGCTACATGTCAGCAACCTCAATGTAGCCTTACTATAGTAAATAAAGGGGAAGCAGTTTATAAACTAAATGCACTATGGAGCCTAGAAAGCCTTTCAGGAACATTCCCCTTTTTGCTCAATGTGCCTTGGGAGAAATATAATCACTCCAAGTCCAACCACCATCCCTCCGTTTGAACCAGCTAACTGTGCTGTAAAATACCACAACCTCTCATTCTCAGGCCCTTATGTAGTGAGACAATCCAATGAGCAGAAATTATTTCTGGACTCCACATATTCTTTAAAGAAGGTACAGGTAAAAGTACAAGCTGATACATCTCAGATAAAATCAGAATGCTTACCTTTTATTTTGTAAAGTCTTAAAGGATGGAAGGCATGGTTACATTCCAGAGCTCACCACTCAAGCAAACAGAGATATTTAACAGGATGGTTTGGATCTGGACTGGGAGTTTTAAACTCGATTGATCAGTAAGTAATAATTAATAAACTGAGCACAGTCACCTCTGATTTAGGAAAGCTAGAAGTACTGTTAAGGTCATCCCTAATTACTCTGGCTGAAACTCAACAATTAACTGTTGACTTAATTTCCCTACTATCTAACCATACTATTGAGGATTTCCAAGCAGTAGCAACTTTTGTTCAAGGACTACAAAGACATGTCTCTATTGCCATTCAATGTATACAAACACAACTCTGGATACAATCTGTGGTTTCTGGTATAATCAGAGAAGGGATGTCAGGAAACCTACCACAAGAAATTAGGGAAATTATTGCTAAGAACGGTATTACCACCCCGTTCAAATTAAAACATCAGGCTTGGTGGCTATTAGTTAATTTCACCTATGATGACATAAAAGAACAAATTGAAGCCTATGTGCTCACAATTCAAAGGCAAAGGTGTGGGATATTTTCCCTATTTTACCACTGGGGGCAATCCATCAAGATGTAGGAGTCAGACCAATAAACCATAATGTTTGGGCAAAATATAATGATGATATAAGGACTATTAGTACTGAAGCCTGCATTCCAAAGGAACAACAAGGATACGTTTGTGAGAATGCAGTAATTGAAAACGAAGATTTGTGCTTAGACACAGAGGACAGTACATGCACGATTGAGATGCTTCCCTCAGAACATGCTCAATCACAGGTGTATTATATAGGAAAAGGATGTGTCTGTATAAGGACTTGTTGTGTTAATGTTAGTATTGATACTTGTGAAGAAGAAACAAATGGGACTAATTTTTGTGTTTGTAATTTTACCAAGATACAAGGTTGTGATTTTAACTATTCAGCTCCTATAACCACTTCTCAGTTATCTCTGACAGTTTCATGCTATACAATAATGTACCTAAATTACAGATTGGAATGGACATTAATGTCCTTAAGAAAATGCTTTCCCACGCAGACATTAAAATACTGTTAAAGAAAGTGAAAGAAGCTTCTAAACAAACATTATGGGAAGTCCAGCACGATACTCTGGAAATAAAGAACATCATCACAGCCATCAAGAAAACCAGTGAACACCATTGGTGGGTCATTTTTCTAAATTCCTCACTAAAATCTCCAACCGCTGCACAGTTTTTCAACTTCCTAGTGCATCCTGTACTAGTTTTGATTTTTGTAGCCCTACTGCTGACTATTCTCAACCTTTGGCTGTGGTGGAAAGTACAGTCTATTGCTCAACAAGTACATGTATTATGGACTGTAAACAAAATTATACAAGAGAATTTGCAATAGCATAAAGAAAAGGGGGGATTGAATTAAAGAATAAGGCCAGATATGGCTTGAAGGTTTGCTTACCTAAGTATGAGTTAGCAAATATAAGTTGGCTGACCACAAACAGGGGCCTACCCCCCTGCAGAGCTACGATAAGTAACAAGACAGGAAGGCAGGCATGTAGGTAGCAATCATGAGGCCAGCACAATGTTATCTTATCTCTGACAAATGGGGGGCTCCAAGAGGGAGGTAGCATATGGTAATGAATTACTGGAAACTAATGAATATGTTAAGACTCCTTGCATGAATATGTATGTATGTATGCATATATGTTGTCAAACTGACTTTGTCTGGCACACACATTTGGAGGAGCGATCCCCTGTGCATCCAGCACTGCAATAAAGGATACCTGCTTAATAGTCATCCCAACTATTGAGTCCTGATTTCGTCTTTCACGGCATCAATTCCAGTGATGGAAGGGTTAGCATTCTTAATTGTTTTCAATACTTTATGACAGTCAGCATTAGCATTTTTGAACGCTAATTTTTTTATAAGAATATCACGAGCTGCTCGGTTATCTACTTGTCTCTCTATTGCATTTTGGAGCCAATCAAGGAATTTTATATAGGGTTCTCCAGGCACTTGTGTGATAGCAGAAAAGGAAGCTTGTGGAGTGGCTGTATCAGGTACCCGTCTTATCACGCGCAATATAATTTCTTTTACTTGCTCAAAACACTGTCTGTCCATTTGGGCTTGCGCGTCGGGGGTAGCCCGAGGCCCCTCACCGACGAGCTCATTCACACCAATATGGTTTAAATTGCCCGTCAAGTTATCCAATGCTTTAGCAGTTGTGAGATCACGGTACTCGGTCATGAATACAGCATATTGCAGAGCCGACAAAATCATATGCAGCAACAGTTTCCAATCATGAGGAATCATACATATCCATCACCAATTGTTACCAATAAGCTAAAGGTATATGCTGATTAAAGACCTCGCAATATAATTTCTTTTACTTGCTCAAAACACTGTCTGTCCATTTGGGCTTGCGCGTCGGGGGTAGCCCGAGGCCCCTCACCGACGAGCTCATTCACACCAATATGGTTTAAATTGCCCGTCAAGTTATCCAATGCTTTAGCAGTTGTGAGATCACGGTACTCGGTCATGAATACAGCATATTGCAGAGCCGACAAAATCACATG